TCTCCAGCACCACAGTTCAAAGGCATCAATTTTCCTTCTATCCTCCCTAGTCATTGTCCAACTCTCTGACACATAACAACTCATTGCAAAGACCATGCCCTTATCAGATGCACCTTAGTCTCCAGAGAGACACCGTTGCTCTTCAATACTTTGGAGAGGTCCTAGTAACATGACCCCTTCTAAACGCAGCCTGGACTTCTGGCAGTTCTCTGCTGATGTGCTGTTCCAGTCGTTTTTTGGATAATCTTCAGTAGGATCTTGCTTGCATGTCAGTATCAATGATATTGTTCTATAGTTTCCACACTCTGTTGGGTCACCCTTCTTTGGGATGGGAACAAATACAGATCTTTTCCAGTCAGTTCACCAAGTGGTTGTTCTCCGAATTTCTTGGCCCAACTTGGTGATCACTCCCAGGGTAGCATCAGTTAGGTGAAATATGTCAATTGATATACCATCTATTCCTGGGTCCTTATTTTTTGCTATTTCCTTCAAAGCAGCCTGAACTTCTTCCTTCAGCACCATAGGCTCTTGCTCATATGTTGTTTCATTGAATTATTCTGTGTTTTCCAATTCCTTTCGATACAGTGACTCAGTATCTTCTTTCCATCTTTTTGATATAATAGTTTATTTAGAAAATCCTAAAATCTCAGCAAGAAAGCTACTGGATATAGTTGACCAATTCAGCAAAATGGCAGGATACAAGATCAATATACAAAAATCAACTGGATAGTTCTGTTGTGACAAAGAGAATACAGAAGTGCCGTGAAGAAAAATAATACACATCACATTAGCTAATCACAAAATTAAATACTTGGGAATAAGTCTAACTTGAAACACAAAGCATCTGTTCAAAGAAATTTACAAAACATTATTAGAAGGAACAAAACGTGACCTGGAGAAATGGAAGAATATGCCTAGCTTTGGATAAAAAGACTTAATATTGTGAAAATGACAGTTCTACCAAAGGCCGTTTACACCTTCAGTGTAATCCCAATACAAATACCAATTTTATTCTTCAAGGAGATAGAAAAGGGAATCTCCAATTTCATTTGGAATGGAAAGAGACTCCGAATAAGCGAAGCACTCCTTTAAAAGAGAAACAAGGTAGGAGGCATCTCACTCCCTGATTTCAAATCCTACTACACTGCCATGGTGGTCAAGACTGCATGGTACTAGTACAATGACAGACACATAGAATCAATGGAATAGAAGCTAATTGAGAACCCAGTAATCAGCCCATCTACCTATGGTCAACTGCTTTTTGACAAGGAGAAGAAATCAGTTAAGTGAGGAAACAACAGTTTTTTTTTAACAAATGGTGTTGACAAAATTGGAAAACTATCTCCAGAAAAAGACCAACCCCTTATACCATGCATAAGAACCAACTCAAAGTGGATCAGGGACCTAGGACTAAAATGAAGGACTGACTCTAAACTAGAGAAAAGCTTGGAAGAACTTTAGAAGCCCTAATCCACACATGAACAGTCTTCCAAGCATCCTGAAAAACCTACAACCAGGAGAGGATAAAATAGACTAATGGGACCTTCTAAGAATCAAATTCCTATGCACATCCAGAAACTTCTCCAAGAAGATACAAAAGATAGGCATAGACTGGGAAAAATTTTTAGTAATGGCATGGCTAATCAGGGACTTATATAGAATACTCGAGCATTCCAACAACATAAACAACCCATTTGTCAAATTGGCACATTTTATGAGCAGACACGTCACAAAAGAATACATTCAGATGGTGAACAAACACGTGAAGAAATGTTCAAAATCCTTAGCTCTAAGATCCAAATAAAAACAACTATGAGATATCATCTCACTTCAGTAACAACAGCAAAATTCAACAGAGCAGCAAACAACAAATGCTGGCACAGTTGTGGAGAAACTGGAACCCTTATTCACTGTTGGTGTGAGTGAAGGCAGTATGATGTTTTCTCAAATAGTTGGAAACAGAAATACCATTTGACCCAGCAATTCCACTTCTGGAAATAATAACCTAAAGAAACCAGAACTCCCATCCAAACAGATATGTGCACATCTATGTTTTTTTGCTCCTTTATTCACAGTAGCAAAGAGTTGGAAACAACCTAAGTGCCCATTAATAAATGAGTGGATAAAGAAGTTGTGGTCTGTTCACAGAATGGAATACAGTGCAACATAGATCACATGCTGCATTGAAAAACAAGGAACTCATGAAATATGTCAGTCACAAAAAGAAAAATACTGCCACTGTTATAAAATAGGACTGACATAGTTTTTCGGGCTAAACTGTGAATAGAGGGGATAAGTAATGTACAGTGCATTGAAACAGATGAGGGAGAGAACTGTTTAAAATGAATATATGATTAGGTATTATGTGCGTGACAAGAGTCCAGAATAAGAGCTGAATAGTAAAGTACACTGGGGTGGGGTTTGGTGAATTGTGTAACAATGAGAGAATTTTTTTTTCTTTCCCAAAGTGAAAGGGAAACTGGTGGGAAGGTTGGGCAGGGAGAAAAATGTGCAATAATGACTAAATGGAAATTCAAGTTCTCTATAAACTTTCATTAAAATATCAATTTTAAAAAAGCAAAGAAAAAATATAAATGGACTTACATGGAAACAATCAGGGAAACATGTCTTTACTGTTACGAATATAGAACTTAATTATTCTATATATTACTATATATCTATACAAAATTCCAACCTAAGGGAAAAAAGATATTATCAGTTGTGCTTTTTATTTATAATTAGCATGTGCCATGAGGGTTTTGCCTATATATGCCTATATGGAAGGGATCCATATTTGTTCCCTTTCCTAACATTGGTTACCCTATAGAATTTGGAAAATTAACAAGCACTAATATCACTAATAACACATGCAAATTATATCTTTCTGAAGATCATAAAAAAAAAATTAGAACAGTATGTCGACAGAGAATCACCAGAAATACAAGGTGGATTTAGAAGAGGCACTATGGAAATAATTTCTTATACAAAATGAATCAGGACACAAAATAGAGTGTAGTAGAAGGATGTCTGTAGATATTCTATTAACTATGCAGCGGTGTTTGACTTTGGATCACAACAAATTTTTGCTAACTTTGACAAGAATGAGAATTCCAGTACATTTGCCTGTACTCATGGGAAACCTATGTCTAGACCAAAAAGCTATTCTATGAATAGAGCAAGGAAACACTACATGGTTGAAAATCAAGAAAGGAAACCATCAGGGATGTATCAATCCATATGCAGAACAGATCATTTGGGATGCTAGACTTCATGAAGAATAATTTGGCATCAGAATTGGAGGAAAACTTCAAAAACCTGTGTTATGCAGATGACACAACTTTGCTTACCCAAATTTAGTACGTCAAGTGTTTGCTGCAGAAGTTCAAAGATTATGTCCTTCAGTAAGGATTGCATCTCAACATCATGAAAAAAGAGATCCTCACCACCAGAACAAAAGGGAATATCCTGATAAAGGTTTGAAGTTGTTAATTATTTCATCTTGAATTCCAAATCAACATTTCTTGGCACCATCAGTCAGGAAATAAAAAAAACTAGATGCATTGGGAAAATCTGCTCTGAGAGACCTTTCCAGAATGCTGAAAAGGGACAATGTCAGTTGAGAGACTAAGATGCACCTGATCCAGGCCCTAGTTTTCTCTACTGATTGCTGTGTTTCTGGGAACTGGACAGTAAATAAAGATGACAGAAAAAGAGTTGATGCCTTTTGAGTTGTGGTGCTGGAAAATAGTATTGAACATAGTATGGGCTGCCAAGAGAACAAACAGCTCTGTCCTGGAGAGGATGAAATGAGTTTGCTTATAAAGTTTCTATACATACTGTTTCACACTTTTCTTCATTCACATTGTGTTTCATAAATTGGTTCCCATGCATTATGTTTTATATCCTTTATCACCATCGAACCTTGCCCATCATTACCATGTTTTTCATGTCCTCACTGGATCCTTCCCATTTCCTTCACTCCCTCCCTCCACCCACCAAACTGTGCAGCCCTGTGGTTTCATCCCTACCCATTCTCCCCTTTCTACTCCCACATTTTACCTCCTTGGGTTACATGTTTTACTAGTTATCTTTCTATTTTTACAATAATTGTCTTAGGCAGTATTTGTCCTTAGGACACTGAGTGAATTTACTCAACATAATTTTCTCCAGTCTCTCCCAAGTTGTATAGCATTTTCTAAATTGTTGCTCTTGAGTGCTGCATAGTATTCCAATGTGTGAATGTACCTCAGTTTCTCAGTCTGTTCGCTTGTGGTTGTATTTTGGGCTGTTTTCGTGTTTTGTTTTTTCAGTCATGAATAATGATACAGTGAACATTGGTATACAGATCTCCATTTGTGTCTCAGTTTTGATTTCTTTGGGTTATATTCCTCTTAGTGCAATAGCTGGGTCATACAGGGTGTCTATGTTTACCTTTTTGAGGAAGCGCCAAACTGGAAGCAAGGATTTTGAAGTTCCGTCTCACATACTTTGGATGTGTTGCCAGGAAGGACCAGTCCTTTGAGAAGGATTTCATGCTTGGAAAGGTAGAGTGTCAGCACAGAAGAGGAAGACCCTAGGTGAGGTGGATTGACACAGTGGCTGTGGCAATGGGGTCAGGTGTGTATGAGACAGTGAGATTGGCTCAGAATGAGGCAAGGTTCAGAGTCCTTGTTCAAAGGATCACTGTGAATCATAGTCAACACAACCACATGGAGCTTTAGTTGCTTTTTTTAGTCTAATGATGTTATTCGTAGTACAGACTTTCAGATGATCAAAATCAGAACTACAGCTGAGTGACATATTTTTAAGTAATTCAGTGATGATTGTAGCAGAGAAGACATGCTATTTTAGTTCCTTCTAATCCCCTTTTCCCTTATCACAGGATAATGCAGGGACTTATAAATTTTTTTCCCTCTCCTCTTTTTGCAGATGTAATGTGTACAGAGGTCAGCTTTGAGCTCAGCAGGCCAGCGTGAGAGAACTCCACTTTCAATTCTATGATGGATCAAAATTCAGAAGACCTTTTTTTTGATTATCAGTTTTGGATGAGAAAACTTTGTTTATGGGACCAGGTCTCCATATTAGAAATCCAGCAAGATACATGTGCTCACCTTCCTCAGTTCCTGGACTTCCTGAGGAGACTATATGATGCTTTGAAAGAGATGGTAAGTACTTGATCAAAAGAATGAAAAGATTGCAACAATGAATGAATGAAAACCCAAAATCTCTGTAAATGTTCATTAAAACTAAGACCTCTCCAAAGTGCTGAAGAGCAGTGGTGTCTCTCTGGAGACTAAGGTGCGTCTGATACAGGCCATGGTCTTCGCAATCACCTGTTATGCATCAGAGAGTTGGACAATGACAAAGGAGGATAGAAGGAGAACTGATGCCTTTGAGCTGTGGTGCTGGAGAAGAGTACTGAGAATACCATGGACTGCTAGGAAAACAAATAGATTTGTCCTGGAGAGGGTTAAACCGGGTGGCTCCTTGGAGGCAAGGATTCTGAGGCTCCGTCTAACTTACTTCGGACATGTAGTGAGGAGAGACCGGTCCTTGGAGAGGGACATCATGCTTGGGAGGGTGGAGGGACGGTGCAGGAGAGGAAGGCCCTCTATGAGGTGGATTGATTCAGTGACTGAGATAATTGGGATGGGAGTGTCAGAGACAGTGCGATTGGCACAGGACAGAGCGGAGTTTAGGGCTATTGTACACAGGGTCGCTATGAGTCGCAGGTGACTCGACGGCACATAACAACAACAACAACAATAAAAAAAAAGAATGAAAAGATGTCCTGCTATCTAGGGCTCCTCACCTGGGGCTCGTGGTGATGGCTTACTAGATTACTGGCTAGGAAAGCAAATTGAGGGCACAACTGAAAGAAATACAGGTGAGAATTATTGCCTGAGTCTGGGATTTATTATGACATCAGTCTTTCTTCCTGATTATTTGTATTGTCATGAGATTCCTGATCAATCAAGTTGTTTTCAAATTGCTGTCAGCCAATAAAATGGGGCCCTTTTAAAGAGCTTTACTTCTGTTATATCTTAAAAAAATTTTCTGATACGCTGAAAGTTTCTTCCACATTGTTCTAAAGTGGGATTTAATAAGAGATGATGGATTTTAAAGTGTCTTCTTATAAATCTTTTAAGTAATCTTTTCTGATAACTGTTTTGAATTTCTTCACTATTGTATATTTTTGTTTTATTAAATTTTTAATTTTAATTGTGAGTTTAACAAAAGTTTACAGAAAGGTTAGATTTTCATTCATTCATTCTTGTACATTTTATCCTCTCTCCCTCCCTTCCTTCTCTCCCAGTTCACTTTTTTCTTAAATGTTCATTCATTGTTGTACAATTAACCTCCCTCCATATCTTTATTTTTAAAGTTTTTCATATGTTTTCATTTGACATAAGATTTCTTATTTTTATTATAGATGTATTAGGTAGTATTAAATTAGTATATTTTTAAATGTTACTTGTTTTATCCTTTTTAAAATTTCCAAATGAAAATTAAAGTTGTTATTTAATGTGAATGTTCTTTCTTTATGCCTTTGTTAACTTAGTCCCGTAAACAAGTAGGATGTTGAAGATTAATTCATGTTGATAATTAGTTCATATGTCCTTAGATTGGAAGGAAAGATGTCATCTGTATGAACAACTGTTGTTGTTGTGTATGTTTCAGTCAGAACCGAACCATAGCTGACCCTCTAACAGGTTTCAGAGACAATCTCTCTGAACATTGCCCATCCTTCTCCAATGGAGCAGCTCATAGATTTGAACCACATGCCTTTGGGATTGAAGTGCAGTTTTTAACCACTAGATCGCTCTGTGTTTTGGGTGTTTTTTTTAAGTTGTACCTTGACCTGACCAAACAGTTTAAACCCAGCTGTCAAATAAATAAAAATATCCTGTTGTGTTAAGTGCTGTCAAGTTGCCCATGACCTATAGAAAAACAGCTCTGAAGCCTGCCCTGTCCTGACCCAGTCTCATTGACTTCAACATCCCTACCCCCATTGCTGTAGTTATTATAATAGTCCATCTTATCTGAGGTCTTCCTCTCCTACGCTGTCCCTCTACCCTTCTGAGCATGATGTCTTTCTCCAAAGATAAATCCCTCTTGGCCACATGCACAGAGTATGTGAGATGGAACTTCAAAATCCTAGCCGCCAAGAAGAAAATTGGTTTCACCCACTCCAAGACAGACCTGTTTGTTTTCTTGGCTGTCCATGGTATGTTTAAGACTCTTCTCCAGCTCAAAGGTATCAATTCTTCTTCTGTTATCTTTAGTCACTGTCCAGCCCTCTGATGCATAGCAAGACCATGACCTGTATCAGGCGCACCTTAATCTCTAGATGATATAGTTGTTTCTCTGTACTCTGGAGAGGTCCCTCACAGCACATGTTCCCAGTGCAATTTGTCTTTTGATTTCTTCACTGCTGGTGCCAAGAATGTTTACTGTGGAGCCAAGCAAGTTCTGATTGTTTCTGTCTTTATCTATCGTGGTTCTGCCAGTTGGCCTAATTGTGAGAATATATATCTTCTTGATGTTGAGCTTCAATTCTATATTGAAGACTACAGTTCTTGACCTTCTGCAGCAAGTGCTTCAGGTCTTCCTCAGTTACAGCAAGCAAGGTTGTGTCATCTGCATAACGTGGATTGTTGATGAGTCTTCCACCAATCATGATGCTACATTCTTCCTCATAAAGCCCAGCCTCCCAAATGATCTGCATATAGATTACAAAGGTATGGAGACAGGACGCATCCCTGATACACTCCCTCATGATTTTGAACCATGCAGTGTTTCCCTGCTCTATTCTGAGGACTGCTCCCTGGTCCTAGTATAGGCTTCACATAAGCATAACCAAGTGTTCTGGGATTCCACTTCTTCTCAAGGTTAACCACAATTTATTATGATCCACACAATCAAATGTCTTTGCATAGTCAATGAAACACAAATAGATATCCTTCTGGTACTTTTTGCTTTCTATCAGGATCCATCTGACATTGACGACAATGTCTCTAGTGCCATGACCCCTTCTAAACCCAGCTTATATTTCTGGTAGTTCTCTGTCATTGTACTGTTACAGTCATTTTTGGATCATCTTCAGCAGAATTTTGCTTGTATGTGATATTGGTGATGAAAATTTTCACACTTTGTCGGGTGATCTCTTTTTGGACTGGGAATAAATATGGATCTCTTCCAGTCAGTTAGCCAGGTAGTTGGCCTTCAGATTTCTTGGCACAACCTGGTGAGCACATCCAGGGCAGCATCTGTTTGTTGAAATAAGTCTATTAGTATTCCATCAATTCCTGGGGCTTTATTTTTTGCCGAGTCCTTCAGAGCAGCCTGATTTCTCCTTCATCACAATTGCCTCTAGATCATATATTGTTTCTTGAAATTCTTCTGTGTCAGCTAATTCTTTTTGGTATAATGACTATATACTCCTGTCTTCTTTTAATGCTTCCTGAGTCATTCAATATTCTGCTCATAACATCCTTAAGTATTGCAACTTGTGGCTTGAATTTGTTCTTTAGTTCCTTCAGCTTAAGAAATGCTAAATGAGTTTGGCCCTTTTGAATTTTGGACTCCAGTTCTTTGCACATTTCATTAAAATTCTTTGCTTTGTCTTCCTATGCTGCTCTTTGAAATCTTCTATCCAGCTCCTTAACACCTGTATTTCTTCCCTTTGCTTTGGTTTCTCTGTCTTTAGTGCAATATTCAGAATCTCTTCTGACATCCATTTTGGTCTTTTCTTCTTCTCTCTTTGTAGTGACCTTTTGCATTCTTCGAGGATGATGTTTTTTATATTCTCCCACAGCTCATCTGGTCTTTGTTCACTTGTGTTTATGGCCTCAAACCTGTTCATGAGTTGGCTTTTAAGTTCAGGTGGGACACACTTAAGGTCAAATTTTGATTCCTGTGGATTTGATTTGACCTTCTTTAGCTTTATTTTATCTTTTATATGAGTTGTTGATGGTCTTCAGTGAGCACCTGGCCTAGCTTTCACTGATGACATTGAACTTCTCCAACGATTCCTTTCACACATGTAATCAGTCTGATGCCTCTGTATTCCATCAGGTGAAATCCATGCATATAGCCTGTGTTTATGTTCCTTATAAAAGGTATTTGCAATGAATAAATCATTGATCAGAATTGTATTCCTCATTTTGGTCACCAATTCCATGTTTTCCGACTGTTGATCTTCTTTGTGGCTCTCAACTTTTCCCAGTCACCCATTATTATTATTAATGCATCTTGCTTGCATGTTCAATCAATTTCTAACTGCAAAAGTTGTAGAAATCATCTGTTTCTTACTCTTTGGCTCTGGTTGTTGGTACATAAATTTAAATGATTGGTTTCCTTGAATTAATAGGTCTTCCTTAAATGCATATGGATATTATCCTGTCACTGACAATATTGTATTTCAGGGTGGATCTAGAAATGGCCTTTTAATTATGAAAGCGACCTCATTTTTTCTCACCTTTTCATCTCTAGCATGGTAGAACATATCTGATTAAAAATGTCCCATGCTAGTCCATCTTGTTTCACTAATATCTAATATTTCAATATTTATGCATTTCATTTCTTTCTTAATAATGTCCAGTTTTCCTACATTCATACTTCTCACATTCCACATTTTAGTTATTAGTTTCTGCTTACAACTGTTCCTCTTCTTTGGTGTTTCGAAATTTGAGGGCTCAGCCTCAGTTGCCATATCTGTTATTCTACTCTATGTGTGCTGTATTGTACATAGGGTTTTGAAAGTAGATGACCAAGTCTCCTTCCTACTTTGTCTTAATTTGGATGCTTAGCTTTGGAACAACATCTGACAGACAAAATATCCTAGCTTCCAAAAATCCAACTACTTCACACCAAAGGCTTCAAACTGGAGACACTTAGGACCCAACCAACTTTTAAATATATAAAGACCTGCCCACTGAGTCTTGGTTGGTTTAAACAAGAGGCTTCCAGCCCATACTGGATCAGTTAACTAAATAAAAATTATTTAGTTAACTAATTAGTAATTTTTTTGGTTAACAAGCAGGTGTTCTGGTGTGAAGATTAATTTGTTATTAGAATTACAAACAAAATTGGCAGTTGGTTGTCTTTGGGGACAACATTGTTCTAAGAGGTACAACATTTGTCTGCTCTACTGAGATAACTT